CCCACCAGCTCACTCGTGCACACCTGTACATGCATGCACGCACTCTCTCTGAAAATAAATAAACTGAAAAAAAATTTTTTTAAGAAAATCAGAAAGAAGAGAAAATACACACACAGTACTGTATTTATCAAAAAAATCCACATGTAAGTGGGTGTGTGCAGTTCAAGCCCATGTTGTTCAAGGGTGAACCATATTTATACATAGAGACAAGTGTGCAATGGACCCAGCTTTGGTGCTCTAACGAGCCATCAAGGCCACAGAAGCAGCACAGGAAACGAGGTTCAGAAGCTTTATCTGTTTGAAGTAAGTTGCATGTGGATCAAGTTTCAGAGATGGAAAGGTCATCAAGAAACCAGTAAAGTTTGGATTAACAGAAAACATTAGTTTCTGGAGACGGTAGAGTCGCCAAGAAATAAATGAGCAGAAAAGCTTGCACTGATCTCTGGAGATAGCCTTGTTAGGTCTGTTAATCGGGAAATTGTGTGGTTTCCAGCCAGCTGTTTGAATACAGACCGTTCCTACCACTTCTTCCGCGTGGTCCCCTTGAGCAGTCAGGTAGGTCACCCTGAACTGCTGCACACTGCTGTCTGAAATGTCCCATTTTACCCGCAGGCTAGAAGTGGTTTCATCATCTACAACCAGGTTTCTGATTCCTGTCCGGAAAACTGGAATAAGCACAACCAAGGATTAAAGAACTTTTAACTCATCATATTCAAAAATGAGCTCCAGACACCATTGGTGGGCATGGCAACAAATATCACTGAATGTATTTCTCTAATGTAGAGCCATATGAAGAACAACTCAGCTTTAGTGGTTAATGGGGGGCCATCATACTTCCTGTTAGCAAATAGAAATGAGTTTGGGAGCATCCGGGTGGCTCAGTTAAGTATCTGACTTTGGCTCAGGTCATGATCTTGCAGTTCATGAATTTGAGCCCTATGTTGGGCTCTGTGCTGATAGCTCAGAGCCTGGACCCTGCCTCAGATTCTATCTCTCTTTCTCTCTCTGCCCCTCCCCTGCTCATGCTCTGTCTCTCTCTCTCTCTCTCAAAAATAAATAAACGTTAAAAAGAAATTAGTTTGAATTATGCTTACAAGGTGAGACTATGGACCCCTCAAAACTATCAGCTCTGTATATAGCCAGTAAAGGGAACAGGGGAGAAACCCTTAGACTAGGGAAACCTACAGGGCGGCATGCCCTCTCACCATTCCACTGGAGAAGCAGAAATGGGGGGGCAGATGTGGTCAGCCTCAGTGTACGATTCGCCATCTAACATACATCCTATTCCCCTGTTCCTCCATTTCTATTTCAACGTTCATCACTCAAAGCACGCATCTCTCACCATGGCTGCCTCTATCCACTCAGCCCACGTGGACATTATCCATTCTCTGATATCTGACCAAACTCCTTCACCTGTGCTCTCTGACACATTCTTTCTCATCTCCCAAGATGCTGGCTCCCTCATTTATCCCATCTGACTTCCTGTCATTCTATCCAGCTCCAGTGACTCTTTCTTCTCTTCATTCATTCATTTATTCATCCAGCTTATTCATTGAGCTTTTCCTGTAAACATTCATTGAGCCTTTCTTGTATGTCAGATCATGTTAGGCCTTAGGATACACAGTGATTAACACTTGATAAAAATATTAAAAATGTCACAGAAGAGGCAGGACATGTAGCAGGAAAAATTGGGGGAGGGTATCAGGCAGTGGGAATGGGAGACAAGGTCTCACCTTCAGAGGGCTAGAAGTTGTGGATGGCAGCAGGAAATGGGAGAGCTTGAAAAATATGGTAGAGCCCAAGAAGAAAAGCAGAAGGATCTTGGATGTTATGGAAAGAGATTTTGGGGCACTGTGATAAAGAAGGGCTCAATAAAGATTAACTGGAACATGAATGAATCCGTGAATGAATGAATGGGCAATGGAGAGCCACTGAAGGGTTTTAGGTAGGGAAATAAATGGTATAACTGAACTTGTGTTTTACTTAGTTGACTTTGACAGCTAGTTGAAAGGTGTATTATAAAGGCAGGGGGAAAGTTAAGCTGAAGGAGAAAACAGCAGAGGTAGGAAGCCCATTAGACCAGCAAGGTCTCTGTTACCCACAGAAATGCAAGGAGGCCATGATGTGAGTGATTCTCAACAGACAGCAATACAAGTCACTGAGATCAAGAGAAGGGAGAAACTCTTGGGGCTTGTTGTGCTAACATCCTCTGAAAGACTAAATAGGAACCCAAAACAAAGATGGAAAATGTAGAGAGATGTAACAATGAGGTGAGAAGACTCATTGGCATTTAGAGCTAAGAAGATGTTGAGAGGTTCTGAGGGGGTAACATTTGAACTGGAATACCAAAAAAATGATAATAATATAAACATATAATATTATATCATATCATATCAATAAAACTGGGATAATGTGACTTCTAATCAAACTTTTCTCATGGGGAAATGGACTTCTATTTCTCCTTACCTGTCGTCACGGGTCTGGTGGGGATGATGGTCGTAGCCGGTTCTGTCCAAATACTGTCAACTAAAAAAATACTCATTACTTTAAAATTCTGTAATAATAGCAACTACACATTTTTTATAGCATTTTATAATTTTTGAGGAAAATTTCACCTATATTATCTCACTTGCTTCTTCCCTCCACCTTGACGATGGTTGCAAGCATGAAGACATGAGCTGTAAATAAGGCAGACATGATACCTATTCTGCTGCTAAGGAAACTAAAACCCAAAGAAATAACATTTCTAATCACAGACACCAGCCTTCATATAAACATCTGAATTACACATATAAAACTGTGAAACCTCCCAGTTACTGTGAAATGGGGCATAACCATGGTAATTAAGGGGAGATAAACAGTGCTGAAGATCACCTTGGGGAAGGGCTTTCAAACAAGACCACCAAGAAGGAAAATAAGCACGTTTTCTATTCCTTGTATTCACCCTGGACAACCAGTGGCATGGAGCAGTTGTGTGGTTCTCCGCCCAGAGCCCCTCTTTGGGGTCAACACACTCATCACCAGCTTCTGAAATACTGGCTGCCAATGGCTCAGAGCTCTGGGAACTGCCTCGTCTGAGGTCACAGGCTCTGTCAGGGGATGGCCTATCTCCAGTGACTGGGGACGCAGGGGCACAAAGGCTCACCGCCTTTGACTCAGTTTGGACAACTCGGGAGGGTCATCCCAGGTCCAGAAGTCCTAATAGAATTAGCCAAACGCTCAGTTTTAGCTTCTCCCTGTGCCTCATCCTGCCATCCTTACTTCCTTACAGATATACCTGCCAATTACACTCTCCAATTAACCTTCGGGATGCAATTTGCTGTTTCAGAATCTGATTCCAGGGAACCCAATCAAAGAAAATTTAATATGTGGTTAATACCTCATATTTAAAAAATGAAGGGATGAATGAATCAGTAAGTGCATTTCATACAAGATTCTTGGAACCAAGATTGACTCGGGAAATTCCAAAAGCTCTTGGACATGCTTGCCCTAGGTTTATTCGTTCACTCATTTATTCATTTATAAATTATTTTATCTATCCCTCCATCCATTCAATAAGTGTTTATTACACAGTCAAAATATCACAAGGACTGTGCTCAGTACTGGGGACATAATGGTGAACAAGACAGATATGGCCTCTGCTTTTATGGTGATAATAGCCAAGATTCTACTATGCTTCACGTATCAGTTTCACGAAAAGTGGAGACACAGGAAGAATTCTGGGGGACACAGAGAAATGGAAGCCTCTGTAGCCCCGGATGAGGTGGATGGGAAGGGAACCTCGGAGGAGGGAGGGTATGAGAATTGATGAAGTCCATCTCAGCCAGACCGAGACTTACGTGTGGTCCCTACAGCGGTCACCACCTCACTCTCGCTTCCATCATCCAGTACAGCCAACAATGAGACTTCATATTCAGTGCCGGGCTCCAGGCCTTCAATAACATGTGAGTCTTGGTCTTCTTTTAGGATGACCTGGAAAGCATTTGGCGCTCAGTAACTGGATTTACTTGAATAACAGAGGTGAAATTTAAGAAAAAATAATAAAAAGGAAAAATGTCATCCTAAACATAAGCAAGATTCAACTGAGCATAAAGAACTCCAGGGTCATTGAATTCAATTTTAAAGTCAAACCAGAGACTTCATTCCTTTCAATTCCCTCAACAAATAAGGTATTAGTATTGTAAAAGTGCCATTTTGAAGTTTTATTCACATTTATGAAAGTCAAAGAATGTGAAAAATATATAAAATACAGACTTAAGCCATTTTAATCTTAGAAATGCCATTTTAATCTTACAAAAATCATATAATCTGACATTTCTAAAACTTGATGCCAGGCAAAATGTTAATTACTTCTGGGATTCTCAATCTCTTTTAAAGTGGAGACCACCTCAAATGCAGCAGTGGTATTCACTTCCAGAGAAAATGCTCCGGATTACTTTTCAGTCTGTTTCACACAACTCACTTCTTCGGTGTTCCCTCCATAGACTGGAATCCACATCAACTTGTGTTGCCCTTCATCAGCTGAGAGGGGATGCCAGGTCACTCTGAAACTATCTGTCGTCACCTCATCAATTTCCAAGTATTGCTGGGCTGGAACTTCCTCTGTGAGCCAAGGAAGGACACTTTGTCAGGGAACAGAGAAGGCAGGAAAGCCAAACTCAAGCAGCTCCCGGGACCGCAAGAAGAAAAGAGTCTCTGAAGAACCTCTAGCATTAGGAAAGCACATGGGAGCCGAGAAAGCATCACCCATCAGTCCGGTGTGGCCTTAAGTTTCTTTTGCCAGCATTTACCCACAGTATAATTAGGAAGACCATGGACACAGCACATTTTTTAAGTCTTCCACTAATTTCCAGAACTCTTAGATTCTCTATTTGGTTCTTTTCACTAACTGTAAAAAAAATAGTAAGAGTGCTGTATTCATTATTTTACAAAAACATTATTTTCTTAATATGTTGACGAAATTAACAAATTGGTGCCCCTGAGGCCTGAGATATGCCCCTTTTAGTTTTATTTGCTTTTGTGCCTAACTCATGCACTAGTGATAAATTAAAGAAGAACCTTCATCCTTTTAATCTTGTATATATGGGTGTCATCGGAAGTGAAAAATGATTTATCAGACCTTCCACAGTTTCACACTTCTGGGATGTACGGCTAGAGCACAGCATCCAACCATTATCAGTCATTATCAGTCATTTTGATTTTTATGACATGAAATCAGAGATTTTATTTATTTAAAAAAATTTTTAAGTTTATTTATTAGAGAGAAACAGAGAATAAGCGGGGGAGGGGCAGAGAGAGAGAGGGGTGGGGAGACAGAAGCCCAAGCAGGCTCTCTCTCTCCGATGCAGGGCTTGAACTCATAAAACTGGGTGATTGTGACTGGAGCTGAAATCAAGAGTCAGATGCTCAACCGAGCCACCCAGGCACCTCTGAAATCAGAGATTTTAAAACTCTTTCACAGGATACCAGGAAAATCCCAACTGGAATTAGCCCTCAGGAGATTTTGTGAACTTACTGAACTTTTTTCTGTGAACATTATTTCTCAGTGGGGCATATTTCTTATGTCCCCAAAATAGCTTCTCATCTCCTCAGTATAGCACTCACCTGTTTTCCAAGTGCAATCAATGTTAAGCTCAGAAAGCAAACAGAATTGTTGCCACCAAGAGGCAAAAAAGCTTTATATTTATTGACTCCAGGGTATATATCAAAAAGGAAACTCATGCAGTCATGCCTTATTTTTTTTTATTTTAGTATTTAAAAGACCCCATATTGTTGCATTAGTATTTCAGTCTGCATGAAAATACATTATTGGCTATAGATTGATGTTTCAGGTTAAATAGTATGAAACTGGGGTGCCTGGGTGGCTCAGTCAGTGAAGTGTCCGACTTTGTCCCAGGTCATGATATCACGGTCCGTGGGTTCGAGTCCCACTTCAGGCTCTGTGCTGACAGCTCAGAGCCTGGAGTCGTTTCGATTCTGTGTTTCTCTGACCTCCATTCATGATCTGTCTCTCTGTGTCTCAAAAATAAATAAACATTTTTAAACAATTTAATAAAAAAAAAAAGGCGCTGGGGTGGCTCAGTTGGTTAAGTGTCTGACTTCGGCTCAGATCATGATCTCATGGCTTGTGAGTTTGAGCCCAACGTCAGGCTCTGCACTGACAGCTCAGAGCCTGGAGCCTGCTTCGGATTCTGTGTCTCCCTCTCTCTCTGCCCCATCCCCACTCATGCTCTGTCTCTCTCTGTCTTAAAAATAAATAAAACATTAAATAGTATGAAACTAACATTTCTGCAGGTCAAAACATTATTGGGTATCAGCAATTTTAGAAGTTCAACTTAATACACACACATGAAAATACAAGCTGTGAAATTTTTAGATCCATGAAACAAAAGAACATGCATTTACTTAACTGGGACCTTTGGAATTCAGATAATCTTTCCTCTTTTTCCCTTGCTTTGACAGAAAATAATTAGCCAGCACACATTCTAGTCGCCCAATTGTTCATTTGTTAACAATAATACAATGTAAACAAAGATTAAAATGCAGTCTCTTCAAAATCACAATCGAAGAAGATGCTCCAGCTTCTGGTTTCTATATAGTTTCTCTTATAAAATTTCAAACCGTAATAAGACTTACCTGTGGTAAAAATTCCAGTCAGGGGCTCTGACTGCCCTTCATCATAGATAGAGAAAATGGCGACCGTGTACTCGGTGAGTGGCGTTAGGCCCTTCAGAGGGAAGGTGGTAACAGGGTCGACTTCAACCTGCAAAAGAGAGAAGTCATAATAGCTATACAGGATACTCTCTAGACACAAGAAGTATAGGCATTTTATTATTGTCTGTAGTTTATTTGGCCTGGCAGCTGAGCTCTAAATACTTCAAAAATTACTGAATTATACAAACAACTTCTATATTACACATTTCTAATCTTCAACTTTAAATAGGTTATCTATCAGTTAATTCTCAGGATGTCTTTGCAACCAATATTATTCCCACCCGTTAAAGACATAGAAAGGAAAGTGCACACAATTTACACTGCTGCTAGAAATAAATCTAATGTGTCCAGCCTGATCAGCTAGGGGTGGCCAGTCTTTGGCTTCACGGCCTGGTCTCCACTAACTTGTGACTAAGTAACACACAATAACCTCTATACAAGCTGCACAGTTGAGCAGCCATACAGGGGATATCCATACAAAGATTATAGTAAATATGTGAAATATTCCTTTATCTTTATGTCACAGAAAGACATATTTGGGAAAGATATGTACCGATCTCTTTAGAGGGCATAAGGGATGAAGCCCAAGGATAAGGACCTAGGCTATAGGAAAGGGAAGGATTAGAAATAGGAACAGCAAAAAATGAACAAAGAAACCATAAAGTAAGAAGAAATGGAAGCAGGATCTAGAATACAGAACCCTGAGCAAAACCATCCTCGACTAAGAGAAAAAATAGATGCAGCTTTATCACTGAAAGGTTGGATCTTGGGCCTCTGACGTATATTGCAATGAGGGCATATTATAGACCGAGAAAGTGGTGTCCCGCTTAAGCACTTTCTATACATTCTCTCATTTAACCCTCACAAAACCCCTATAAGAGAGGTACTAACAATAAGACACTCACTCTAGCTATAAAGAGACTCTGGGGAATTGAAGAAATGAATCTATTTACCTGAAAGCAGACTCTGCCCAAAAAAAAAAAAAAAAAAAGATCCCACTTAAAATATTTTCAAGAGACATTCAGAGCAATGTCAGTGAGATCTGTTATTTATGATACTAACGATGACTAACCTTGAGAGTACCTGAAGTTAAGGGGAAAGTGACTAAGCTTCCTGTAAGGATTTGCTCATAGCAGGCAATGTGACCTTTATCAAAATCTAAAATGAGCCATTTTCCTACTTAAAACTTTCCTTGGCTATCAATTGCCTTCCAAACCAAAACAGAGCATCCCGCAGCCTTGGCTTTGCATTATCTGGAGCAGTGATCCTTTTTCTTGCCATAGTTCTTTTTTTAAAAAAAAAAATCATTTCTTTATTTTTGAGAGAGAGAGAGAGAGAGCACACGTGAGTAGGGGGAGGGGCAGAGAGAGAGAGACAGAGAGAATCCCAAGCAGGCTCTTCTGCTGTCAGCATAAAGCCCAATGTAGGGATCAATCACATAAACCATGAGATCATGACCTGAGCGGAAATCAAGAGTTGGACGCTTAACCAACTGAGCCACCCAGGCACCCTTCTTGCCGAAGTTCTAATCACCTGATGAGCCCCAGTCACACTGACCTGTCAGGTCCATGTCTTTCCCACCTCAGGGCCTTTGCATGCACAATTCATTCTGTCTGGGACCCTCTCTCCCTAGCTCTTTTCAAAACTAGACTTATGTCATCTCTCAGGACTGTACTTAACTTTTACCTCTTCACAGGGGGTTTCTCTTTCCACCTATCTCATAGTGTTACCCCCTAACATCGTCCTTTTTTGTTTCCTCCCCAGTACTAAACACAGCCTGAAGTTATTTTATATCCTATGCATTGAGTGTAAGCCCCCTTAGGGCAGGACCTTGCTTTGCTCCTTCAGTACTGCGTGTTGAATTATATTTGCTTTTGAGTACATAGAGGAGACACCAAATCTCCTTTTTAAGAGAGATAATAAAGGGCTCATCTGAACTAAGAACCAATCCAGAAACCATATGCATCACTAAGAAATCAACCACAGGTCAAAAAGGAGAGGGTCAGCTCTGGAGGAGGAGCTTCCATTTTCACACAATCGGAGCCCTGAGCCACTCTGCCAGAGAGGGCCAACCATCCCCAGCCTTCTCAGCTACCCTAGCTGAGACACCAGACGCAGAAGTGAAGTCATCTTGGAAGGTCTGGCCCAGTCAAACTCCCACACGAATGCAAGTCACCTCGGCTGACACTACAAGGAGCAGCAGAGCCAAGCTGTCCTTGCTGAGCTCTGCCCAGGTTACATAATCATGGATTGTCATTTTCAGCTGGGGTGTTAGTTACACAGCAGGAGTTAACTGAAAATACGGGGTTATCTTCTTCTGAGTCTGGGCCTGATAATATTATAGGTCATCCTTAGCATTTAATGTTTACTTTGGTTCGGGTATTGTCTGTATGGTTCACGTGTATTAGTTCACTTAATTGTTAGCCCAGTCTTGTAGTCTAGCTAATCTTTATGCTTAATTTGAAGACGGTAAACTTGAGACTCTGAAAAGTTAAGGAACTTGCCCAGTGGAAAACCAGCTAGTACCTAGTACCTCCACACAAATGTTTCAGATTCTAAATCCTACGCTTGTAAACACTATTTACAGTATGGCTTCATTACTTCAACTCACAGAAAAGACAAATGCATATTTAAAATATGAGTTCAAGACATGTTCTTCTAAGTTATATTTGCATATTGCTTCTGTTGTTTTGGATTATAATAGCTGAGTTTAGGGGCACCTGAGTGGCTCAGTCGGTTAAGCGTCCGACTTCGGCTTAGGTCATGATCTCGTGGTTCATGGGTTCCAGCCCCTCGTGGGGCTCTGTGCTGACAGCTCAGAGCCTGGAGCCTGCTTTGGATTCTGTGTCTCCCTCTTTCTTTGCCCCTCCCCTGCTCACACTCTCTCCTGTCTCTCTGTCTCTGAAAAATAAATATTAAAAAAAAACTTAAAAAAATAATAGCTGAGTCTATCTACTGAGCACTCACGATGTGTCAAGAACTTTACATTCATTGTCTTATTTAGCCTCCTCCTCCCCCCACCAAACCCTGGGCATTTATAATAGCTATTTCACAAAGAAGGAATAGGAGGCCCAAAGATCTTTAACTAGCTTTCCAGATACAAAACTATTAACTGGAATGGATACTTAGGCCTTGACCTCTAAGTCTCAAATCTGTGACCAATAGCAATTTAGTGAGGATATCAAACATCCACAAAAGCAGTTAAAAATTAAAGTTTCTCAGGTACACCAAGAGATGAAAAGGGGAATAGTGTGTATATACACACACAGTTTGCCCCTTTATATACGTAGTTATATATATAAAAGCATATAGGTGTAAGTGTATACCTTTTCAATATGTTTCTACATATATCCTTGTATCTGTTGAAAAGATCTATTTTATTTATTAAAGCATTTTATTTGACTCTGAACAGACCATATTTTATGCATTAACTATTGATTATTTTATTTGACCAAATGAAACCTTTAAGGTGTCATATATTTTTGTTAGTTATATTATGTTTTACACTAAGTTCTGGAACTGATTCTGTTGGTAGGACTTTCAAGATGTAGAAGAATTTGGGAAAATGATAACAAATGACCATGATCTCACGGTTATGCAACCATTTTTGAGAATTTTTCAAACAGTCTGGCCTAAAAAGCTTAATTTCAGCCTAATTCTGGGAGGGATGAAGATAGAGCCCTTGATGAGGAAAGAGGGACTGGGCTCCACTTTGGGCTCTGTTGTTGAGTCATAGCTGTCGGGAACTGGACTTGCCTTGGAGTCTGAAAACTGGCCTTTCATGTATAAAACTCAAATGGCAGCACTTTAGTTTTCCATCATGCTTGTACGTTTCCCCAAATCCTCTCCTAGCACATGCTATCTAAGACGGTTCTGTCTTCCGTTTGACAACATGTTTTCAGCATGTCTCTCTAAGGATTGCACGAGGGGGCTCTCGGAACAGTGGCTGGCTCAAGGTAAGTGCTCAACACGTGTGAGCCACCACCACCACCATCATCATCATCATCATCATCATCACTGACATTTGGTGCTCTGTTTTATTTTTCTTCCTTGGTCTCCAAGCAGTCGGGGAGACAGGTAATGCAGAAAGGATACAAGGAAGAGGAAGTGAAGGAAGGAAGTTGGGAGGAACAGGAGGTAAAGCACAGATATATAACATGTAAACAAAAGCTTACAATCAATTGCATGTTACATAGAAGTAGATTTTATTTGGGACATTTTAAAGTTCCTTTCAGAATGTATTGGAAATTTCCTAAAAGCCCAATTGTAGTATTACCTATAAGTAAAAGCTTAATTAATAGAAGTTAAAGTTAAAGTTATTAAAATATGGTAGGAATACTCACCCTTAAAATCATATATTAGGCAAATCAGTAATATTACAAATTAGGCAAAGTAATATTACATGTAAACAAAAGACATTTGTCTAGCCACATCTAATCTCAATTGCATGGTTAAGAATTAAGAAATAAGAACACACACA